AATACAACAGACACCTGCACAGGCTTTAACTCTGACTCCTGCCTGGTCGGTTGGAATTGGCTCCTTGCCCGTGTGTGAGCCCTCACCACAGTGTGTGGAGAAAATACCCTGATGTAACCTGGATGCCTCCCTTGCTCCTACCCATTCTCAGCTGTAGTTTGCCTCAACTCTGCATTTGCCTGTGTCTCTCCTAGATTACAGAGGAGCTGGTGGCCAGGCAGCTGTCAGGAGAAGGCAAAGGAAAAGCAATCCAGAAGGCTCTGCCAGGACTGTCAGGCGCAGGGGTAAGTAAGTAAGGTGACTTCTGTACATCTTTCCATCGCCCCCGAGTGCACACAGATTTTGCTAATATTTGGGGGAATCTAAAGCCTTAAAAAAAAATCTACTCAACCTTACTCAATTTGAGAGCAGCAAAATCTAAAAGCAAAGCTGTTTGGAGCAAGGCCATGAACTGTATTTATATCATCAATCTTATCTGTCCTAATTTCTTCCTTCCCTTTGAGTTGAACCTGGTTTTATAGAAATGCTTTTCTCTGACACATTGGTTATTAAAATGTCTAGATTAGGTGAATTGTGAACAGAAAGCAAATCCACTCTCATGGTCCTTTTCCTCCTCCTTCCAGTGAGCTCTTTCTTGTCTTGAGCAGGCCTGAAGCTTTCTAATTCCATTTTAGCAGCAACAGCATCCACACCAGAAGCTGAGTGCCCTTTCTGGCCTGATGCTCCCTATTTGAGACACTGAGACCCTGTCTGAAAGAGCAAAGGAATAAACCTTCCTGCTTTCTCCAATCTAAAGCACTTCCCCTCTCTCAGCCTGGGCCAAGCCCTAGAATAGGACATGGAAAGCAGGGCTGTAGCCAAGCCATGCTCAGTGTTCTCCTGGAGCTCTGCCTCTGTTCAACAGCAGCTGGTGTGGGCCCATCCGTGTTGGGGAGGTTGAAGAGAGAACCACGATGACTGGGTGCTTGTGTAGGTGTCGTGTTTGATGGGCTTAGCTGTGGATGATGCTGGAAGTAGCAGATGCACTCTCTCCCAAGAGATGCTTCCATCACTTCCACAGTAGGGAAGAGGAGAGGCCAGACACCATGCTGGCCTCATTAGAATAAATGCAGCTTTTCTTCTGGGGTCTGGTGTAAGGGGCCCCTGCTGGCCTGATCCAATCCCACTAATGTGTTTTGTGGTCACAAAGGTGGTTTGGCACTTTGCCTTAGGATGTGTATCCTTGATCCTCAAGGGACCAACTCAATATAGTTGTCTGAGCCTTTACAGTCCCCCCCCCCCCCATAGGAACTATGTCCTTAGTTCTGAGGAAATTGACCTTATTTGACATTTACTAAATAAATCCCAGTGACTGGACCTTCTGTTATAATGTTGGATAAACAGCAGGGTATTGACAAATCAGTCATAGTTCTCACATTTAAGACTGACCATAACAATTATTTTAAACTAACTTTAAATCATATTTTGACCATAATTGTATTAATGGTTTTGTGATGGATTTCATGTTATTACATGGGCAAAATAGCCTTTGGATGCAGCAAGAACTGAATTTTGCCTTGATCAGCTATTCTGCTTGGAAATAAAATGTAATAGGAGATAAAATGTATCTATATCTAAACTCTAAATCTCCCTATACCAACTTCCCCTCCATGGGTTAGGATAGACATCAGTGTTTCCTTTTTCTCTCCAAAATGCAAGCCTAAACATTTGACAAAAGGTAATCCAACAGTTCCTCCAGGAACAAGAAAATAAGCACAGAGTTAGGGAGAAAAGAATTCTGCATTTACTGGACTGACTGAGCCTGTCACCAGAGCGGGAATAGAGGAGGGACAGCTGTAGGAATAAGTCATGTGAAAATCTTCCCAGTAGGCTGTGAGTGTGGACCCTCAGAGGAAAAGGGAGGAATGAGGTATTCTCAGGCATGTTTTACCTTTCCAGAGTCCTGGGAACAACTTGGGTGACAGGGAGGAGGAGAGTCCCTTGGAAAGCCATTTCTGAGAGGATGACCTTCTGTTTCTGGTGGTCTTACTATGCACAAAGAGGAAGCAAGAGTGTTAGCTTGCACAACAGCCTTATGTAGCTGAATTAACCACTGAGACGCTTCCTGTTTATTCACCATGCTTGAGAAACAAGAATCTCAGTGGTGCCTCCATTGAGATCTAGAGCCCTGGACCACTGCAGTGCTGCCTCTATTGACCTGGAAGAGTGGAGACAACCTCTGCCATACACAGTATCACCCACCAGCGATTGTATATCAAGGTGGCCCAGATACCTGGGTTCAAGCATTCTCTTCTATGATTACACAGACTTGGGCCCATCTCTTGGCTCTTACTTCAATTTCTTCGTTTCTAAAGAGAGGTTGATTTATGTCAACCATCCTTAGTCCCTTGTAGTCTTGATCAGCTACCTTGAAAACAATCTCAGCACCAGAGACAGAGCTGCCCCCCCCCCCCCCCCCCCCCCCCCCCCCCCCTCCCGCACCCAAGCTCAGCTTCTCATCTCCCAGATATTTGTTTGAGGAATTGTCATCTCTACTTCCATGGAGTTGCAGCTCTGGTGTACATACGAGTTTTCAGATTATTCTAGAACATTCTGGGCTTCTCTCAGTTACAGGCAGAAAATGCTGTTGTGAGGGAGATGGAGCAGAAGAGATAAAAAGAAGAACAATCCCACCCAACTCTGTTACATTGCCCCTCATCTCCCCTTGCTCATCCAGTCAGTGCTCTAATGGGGAGACAAGAGGACCATCTCTGGCTGCCATCATTAGGAACATAGAGCAGGTCCTATTACATGGTCATGTAGCAAACAGTGGCGGTCACTAGAGTGAGAATCAGCATAGCTTTATCAAAGCCAAAATTCTCTACCAATGTCTTCTGTTTGTTGTTTATAAATTAGAGGTAAAATATTTGTCATTATGTATCCAACGTGCCACTTGCAAGAACGATTTAGAAGCTATAGATCTGAGGAGCAAAATGTCCCTAATGTTAAAGGAATGATTACAAGACAGCGGAGGGGCATGTGGACCTCCAAAGTGAGACAGAAGAAATCTTCTTTTTCAGGTCCAAGAAAGCCCAGAACACAAAATGCAGACTTCAGTGCTGCCTTGCTTCCTGTGACATGTGGTACTGTGAAGGGAGTGTTACACAAGGAAAAATTCAAGCAAGGTGGGTTTCATGGTTTTTAATTTACAACTGCTAAATAAAAAAAAAAATCACAAGCAATAATGGAATTACTTAAAGAATTGGAGGTGTGTGGCTTGAAGACAGGAAGGGATCCTAACATGTTATTTTCACCCCTGAAAAAACCATACTGTAGCAATGGTCAAGCATCTGTTCAACAGTCTCATTCACTTGGGTAGACAATGATGTCACAGGACTCTCCAGCTGCAGCAGCCAGCTGCAGCCTCAGTTCTAAGTTCAGGACCCAACCTCCACCTTGCCTGGGGCCTCCTGAGACTCTGGTTGTTCTCCAGTCTGAGAGTCAACGTCAGGTTGAAATTGGCTCACACTGTGCAGACAGTCACTAGCTTGTCCTTTTCTAGGTGACTCTGAAGTAGTTTTTGAAAGGTTTCTGTTGGTGGCGATTGCCATATTCATCATGCTTGGAAATCAAATAAACACGCCTGGTTTCAGCAAAGCGCTTTAGGGAACTCCAGGGCTGAGCTGGGACTTCTGAAGCCAGAGAGGAGACAGAACTCTTCTGCTATTGACTTTGAGCACAGTTTAAGTGGCTCCAGCTCCAGTGTGGTGGGAAACCACTAGAGACAAAGCAGACTCACAATTAGCCTACTGTGTTCTTACAGGGATATCTGTGAAGTCCATACAGAGTGAAGATGGGGACTGGTACACACCCATTGAATTTGAAATCTTGGGAGGCTTTGGAAGATCTAAGAACTGGAAATTGAGTCTGCGCTGCTACAATTGGCCCCTGAAATCGCTGATCCAGGTATTGCAGTGGAGGGGGGCGTGTTAGTGCTTCTTGCACTGTTTACAAATCAAATAGGTACTGGGAAGATACTGGGAAGCCCTGAAGTCAATGATGGTTACCTGTCACTTAGGAGAGAGGCAGCCCACATCCACAGCCTCGTTGCTGGGAGGTGGTGGCATTGGCAAATGATAGATAGAGAACCTCTGAGGAGGAAATGGTCATTCAGGGTTGGTGTTCTTGCAGAGAGATTTCTGCATTGAGCCAAAGGAAGAGTTGACTGTCAGACAAGTGAAAGAGAATCTAGAGAGAGCACATGCAAGCAGCTGCACCAAAGGCAGTTGTGTGGGTGTGGGGGAGGAGTTGTGTGTAAGGCATAAGCCATCAATTTATGTTGTTTGTGCAGGGATTTAATGCCACCCTAATTACTTCAGATTTATAATGTGGACAAGGACTCGGTGATGTCCTTGAGGTTAGATATTGCACTTGAGGACGGGCTTTGGTGGCTCACGCCTTTAATCCCAGCACTCAGAGGCAGAGGTAGGTAGATCTCTCTGAGTTTGAAGCCAGCCTGGTCTCTGTCTCAAAAAACAAATTAAAAAAAAAAAAAGAAAGAAATTGCAGCTGAAGTCTATGTCTGGTGGTGGAAGCCTTTAATCTCAGCACCTGGGAGGTGGAGGCAGGAGGATTTCTGTGATTTTGAAGCTAGCCTGATTTAAATAGCAAGTTCCAAGACAACCAGGTCTACATAGAGAGACCCTGTTTCAAAATACCACAAAAAAGAAAGAAAGACCAAGGAAATGGCAGTTGATATATCATCATCATCATCATCATCATCTGGTGTGTGGGGATAGAAGCCAAGGCTTCAAGTAAGCTGAAGAAGCTCTAAGCTAGTCTCAGCCCTCTTCTCCTGTGCTTCCTGTGCTGCCATGATAAACACAACACCATGGCCAAAAGCAACTGGGTGAAGGAAAGGGTGTGTTTGGCTTACAGGCTGCAGCCCATTATGGAAGGAAGCCAAGACAAAAACACAAGGTAGAAACATGGAGGCAGGAGCTGAAGCAGAAACCACAGAAGAACAGTGCCTTCTTACTTGCTTCTGTGTGCATGTTCACCTGCCTTTCTTATCAGCTTAGGCCCACCTAAACAGGGATGGCAATGCTCAAGTGGGCTTGAATTTTTTATATCAATTCACAACCAATAAAATGCCCCCATATACATGCCTATAGGTTATCTGAGATAGACAGTTCTTCAACTGACATTTGCTCTTCTTGGTATGTCAAGCTGACAGCCAAACTAACCAGGACACATCCACAATGTTATTAGAAACAGACTGCCCTAGACATGATTTCATCATCTCTCTATCCAGAAAGCCAGTATTTATCCTATTATTTTTAGCTCAGATATCTCACCTCTTCCTGAATGTCCTGGCCCCTCAGCTCCCAGAGACCCTTCTTAAACTGTTTGAGAGTGGTTCTGTGTGCTGGTGGTTGTGGTGCATGTTTTTAATCCAAGCAATGCTGATGCAGAGAGGCAGTTGTCTCTGAGTTTGAGACCAGCCTGCTCTAGTGCAAGTAGAATATCCAGGGCTACACAGAGAAACCCTGGAGACACACACACACACACACACACACACACACACACACACAGAGAGAGAGAGAGAGAGAGAGAGAGAGAGAGAGAGAGAGAGAGAGATGCTTTTTCCATGAGTTTTTTCCTCTATCCCCCCCACACACAACCAGGTTTTCTGTCTCTGTGCTTCAAATTCATCAGAGTATGTGACACCCTAGATGCATGCAACAATGCAACAAGTGTGTCCTGATACAGAAAGTCAAGTTGAAGTGTGTCAGGTGGCAGCAGAGAGCATGTAATGGTTTAATCAGTGATAGTGATAGTGAGGGCAATTTCTCTGGACTAAGGAAAAGGGATGTAAGGAGGTCTTTCCGGCTTCCACAGGCCGGAGTCTCTAAGTTGTAGGTGATGAGAGGGAATTGGAGTCAGACAACGTGGATCTGACCAGGCAGAACTTCTGGAGGAGGCTGGCAATGCCAGACTCACACCACCGAGATACAGATAACTACATACTTGGGTCCTTCTATCTTGCAGAAAGACTTTCTACCCAATTATCCACGAAAATATGGCAAGAGAAAAAAGGTGAGTTCTCAACATGTGATTTTATGCACACAGCCTCTTATTTTGTGGTGTCTCAGTTGGGTTGACATACTTCAAGTCACTTCTCATTCCTTCCTCTACTTTTTCCTTTTCTTGTTTTCAGCCTGTGTTCTCACTCATGCTACTGTTTTATAAGGCTAGGTCTGCCTTCAGTGTTGACTCCTTTGAGTTGGAGATGATAAAGAGCCACCAACACAAACTTCATTGGGTTACATGTCACTGGATACTGGGCTTCATGGCTACTGAGAATTTGGACTTCAGGCCTGTGTATTATTTTTTATTTGCATTATTGTCTGGCTGGTTTGAACTCTAAGCCACTGGGACATTTCATCCACTCAGTTTCCTAGAAGGAAACTACCACACAACCTGGTCAATGAATACTTAAAGCCCATTGCCTCTACCTTCCCCCAAATCCAGTATCTTGTACTGGATCACTCAAGTGAAATAGAAATGTCCAACCCACACAACCATCCTTATTCCTGGGTGCAATGCTTCATAGCACAGGAGACACTTGCCTCTTATTTTGAGTCTCTGTTTCTAAGAACAGAATTCCCAGAGAAACAGAAGCCCAGGTCCATTTCCACTTTCATGAGTCTCTCAGGGCCTCTTCATGTGCTCAGAGCCATGGATTCTGGGAACTTCCATGTCACTGTCAGCATCACATGGCAGATTCCCAGCTCATGCAGGACCATTAAAGCTTCCTGGTGATGACTGGCATGTGTCAGACCATCTGGTATGGTCACCAGAGCCATCATTTCTGTATGCTGGCGTCTGCATTGAGATACCTGGTTTCTCTTTCTAAGCAAAGCCATATTTACTCATCTGTGTAATTCACAGTTACCAAGTGTACACAGAACATCCAAGGACTGTAGATAAGCCAGGAACAGTACCCCGAGGGATGTCAAGGACCGTGTCAAAGTCACTGTCCCATTAAAGAATAACAAATAGTGTGAAGTAGGAGATTCTGGAACAGTGGTCAGTGGACAGTCCCCTCTCTTAGGTGATTGTAGCCCAGGTCATGCTTGTCTCCAGCACTAGTAGGTCTTGGACTGGAGTTAAGAGCTGAGACTGCCTGGGTCCCAGAAAGGAAGGGTGACAAGATCATTCTGATGGACGTGCAAAAGCAATGTGAAGTCCATTGTCACTTCTAAATGTGCAGCCAGCCTTGAGTTGTGAATAGAGGGTGGAAGGCCATTAAGAGGATGAGCTGCAGCCCTGGGTGCAGTGAGTTACATTTAATTTTCAAAGGTATGGCCCCAGGATTGCTTCAGAAGGTGATGGATTTCCTCTCTAGGTCACCCAGACTTCTTTGAGCCCTATGAGTTCTGGGATATGATTGGTATGCCACGGCTTCATTCTCACTTCTGCTACTCTGAGGTGCAGTGCTGGTTGGTGGTCATGCTGATACACCCTGGGCTGCAAACTGAAGGAGAATGGCTGAGAGCCATTAATGTTTGAGGGCAGATAGAACTGCTTCAACCAGCCTGTAGAAACCAGACCCTGTCTCTTTGTATGAGTCCACAAAGGCTTCCCGGGGACCGAAAGCCAGGGAGTGGAACTTCCTTTGGATCCAACAGTAGTCTGATGACCTACCTCTCTCTGTAGAGATGCACAGGTTCATAAAAATATGTATGAAAAAAGTAGATATTTTAAGAGAAACCCTCTAGATAGAATGAATTAAGCCAATATTTTCAATCAAAGAATTCAAGAGTGAGTTCTCTCTGTCCAGTGAGGGTTCCTGGGGACCCCCTACAGGTATGTGAGGCCATGGCTTCTAAAGGCTGAGGTGAAAATGAGATTGAGAAACACATTTGAGTGGTCATGATGGAAAGCCCTTGTGAGACATTAGGTGGTAGCTTTATGTGGCTGACATAACTCCTTGGATTTTGCTAGGAGCATTGCTTGGTGCATTGCCTATGGCATGGCTGCCTCTCCCTTGAAGGGGCTCACTGTCACTTTGGTTATGTTCCTCTGGGTGATGAGCATTAGGTCTTAATTTGATAGATGGGAACTTGAAGCATGTGAGCTATTCCTACTCTCGTTAATAAAACTAATTTTAGCCAGGGATGATGGCACATCCTCGGAATCCCAGCACTCCCTGTTCCATACCTAGAAACACAAAGATCAGAAGCTCAAGTCCAGCCTTGGTTATATAGTGAGTCTAAGACCAGCCCAGGATCCCTGAGACCTAGCTCAAAAACAACAATAATGCTGGTGGTGCTAAAACAAAAATTAAACAACTATCATCTACTTACTTAAATGAATAACATATTCAAATCTTACATTTAATATTGTCATTTAAATTTTCTTTCAGAAGAACACACAGAATCTGTACAGTTCCCCAGCTAATGCATGTGTAAGTACTGACTCCTAGCTACAATTCTGAAAAGGCCTCGCCCTCTCCTTGGTTCATTGCCTATGTCATGGCTGTCTCTCCCTTGAAGGGGCTCACTGTCAGTTTGGATGTGCTCCTCTGGGTGATAAGCAAAGGTTACCAGATTTGTCCCCAACCCAAGGGAGGGGGGACCAGTTTGGGTTTGGAGTCCTACCACACATTTCTCCATATGTTCTCATGTTCTCTTTTACCCTAAAGATGAGGGTGGGAGACAGAACTCTAGATCTCTGGGGTCCCTGGGACAGACACTGACATGGCAGTTGGCATGGCTGGCCCTGGATGAAGGTTATGAACAAATACAAGAGGAGACAGCATCTGTAAAATAGAACATCCCAGCATGCATCCCAAGTGGGGGTAGAGCCCAGGAGGAGCAGGTCAGGTCTCCTGTGCAAGTTCTAGGTGTAGACCTCTCCTCATCCTGCAGAAAATTTCTTGCAGTTTGAATGGGTTCTCATGGAAACCCTGAGGGCCAGTCTCAACAGAGCTGTCAGGGGCACTTATGATTAGGACTAAAACCATCACAGGGTGCAATTCACAGGGTGTTTTCCCTTGGTCACATTGGCTGGTTCTCAGATATATGCAAACCATCTGTATTAGTCAGGGTTCTTTAGAGTCACAGAACTTATAGAAGTTCTCTCTCTCTCTCTCTCTCTCTCTCTCTCTCTCTCTCTCTCTCTCCATATATACGTGAATAAATTTCATATGTTTAATAAAATACATATGAATAAGTTTCATATATATATGTATATATATATGAAATTTATTGCAATGACTTATGGACTGCAATCCAACTAACCCAACCAAGGCTTGCTGTGAATGGAAAACCCAAGAATCTAGTAGTTGCTCAGTCCCACGAGGCTGGGGGTCTCAGCTGGTCTTTTGTATATGCTGGAATCTCAAAAAGCAGGCTCCAATGCCAGTGAAGGAATGGATGTGCTGGCAAGGCAAGGGCAAGCAGGCAAGGAACAAATCCTTGCTTCTTCCATTGCCCCTATATAGGCTTCCAGCAGAAGGCGTGGCCCAGATTACAGGTGTGTCTTCTCACCTCAAGATCCGGGTCTAAAGACATGTTGTCTTCTTGCCTCAAGACCTGGATCACAGGTGTGCCCTTCATTCCTGGATTGTAGTTCATTCCAGACATAGTCAAGTAAGTTAACAACAAGAATAGCCACGACAATCCACTCCTTGTCAACTGGACACACAATCTTATTTCCTTATGCCATGATTAATTTCCAAATAAAAACAACAACCAGGTCATAGTAATGCCCAAATATAATATAACTATGCCATGTCCAATTGCAAACGCATTATATATTTTTCTAGGTCATAATTACACATAACATGGTATAACTATCCCCCATGCAACCACAAATGAATTTTAAATTTAGAAGAGGTGGCAGTGTCCCTCGGGGGACATCTTATCAGTATTCTTTTAATTGTTGTTAGAACACATGATAAGGAAATTGAGAGAAAACACAAATACTGTACAAACACATTCTTAACAAATACAGCAGAAACACTCATGTCCGTTATAATCCTCATTTCTGCAACTGGTCACGTGGCCCTGGCTGATCTTTAGAATTACCTTCCTCTACTACCCACTCTCTATCTCTTCCACCCTAGGCAAGCACCCCAACAGATCTTAGTTCTTGTCCTAGCAAAGTGCCCCATACCTTCATTCCGATGGGTCTGTGACCTTTGTCATCCTGTCTGGATTCAGCAGCTGTAGTTTCCCTCAGGGAAACTTTAACCACAGGGCACAGTAGCACCAAGAGACGTCCTAAAAGATCTCCAGACATTGCTGGGTGTTGGTGGCGCACGCCTTTAATCCCAGCAATCTCAAAGCAGAGGCAGGCGGATCTCTGTGAGTTCGAGGCCAGCCTGGTCTCCAGAGCGAGTGCCAGGACAGGCTCCAAAGCTACACAGAGAAACCCTGTCTCGAAAAACCAAAAAGATCTCCAGACATAATCTTTCTTATCTCCATTGTGGAAAGGCAATCCGATTTCCCCTTGGTAATCTGGATCAATCACCCCTCTTACCTTTCTTAGTCTGTTGGTTTAAGGGCATTTGTAGCCCAAAGCATCCAGGCAAAGTCCGAGTTTTCAGTTCAATGGAATGTTTGCTGTGGCTCCTGGCAGGGCACTCCACCACTCTGGAACCAAAATGTCTAGACCAGCAGAACTTAGGGTTGTGGGAACAGGAAGCAAAAACCTCCCTCGTGGGTCACTAGGGGTGACAGTGAGTGGAACTATTTCCTTTTCCATCCCTTGACTTGGGGATCCTGGCTATGGGAGAAACAGTACCATATATTAGATGCTGATTCAGAACATAATACTGCCTTCTGGAGACCCCAGCCCCAGCACTCCATGCTTCTGCCACCTAATTGGCACTGTGACTGTGTCTTTGAAAGGCCAACCCATCTTTCTGTCAGACCAGCGTCTTCAGGATGGTGGGGAAGATGGTACGACCAGTGGGCCTTACTGCCACATGTCTCTGGCTGTGAAGTGGATTCCCTGGTCAGAAGCAATGCTGTGTGGAATACCATGTCTGTGGATCAGGCACGCTAGCATGGATGGTGCTTTGGGCAGAAGCATTCGTCAGAATAAGTATCTCCTCCAGGAATGACAATGCATTGTCCCTTCCATGAAAGAAGTGATTCAATGTAGTCAACCTGCCACCAGGGAATGGTGCCTCATCTGGGGCTCAGTGTTGGTCTCTGCTGTTGGCAGGCCTGGCACTCAGCAGCAGCTGTAGCAAGGTCAGCCTTGGTGAGTGGAAGCCCCTGTTGTTGAGCCCACGCATAACCCCCATCTCTGCCACCATGGCTGCTTTGTTCATGTGCCCATTGGGCAATGACAGGCATGGCTGGGGAAGAGGCTGACTGTCCATAGAGGGAGTTATCCTATCTATTTGACGACTGAACTCCTCCTCAGCTGAAGTCAGCTTTCGATGAACATTGACATGGACACAAGTGTCTTCCAGCCTTTGCCCGTTTGGAGCGATCTAGCCACACACTTCTTCCCCAGATGTCTTTCTCACCAGTTTTCCATTCGTGTTCTTTCCTAGTCCCTGACCATCCATCCAATCCACTGGCTACAGCCCATGAATCAGTGAATAACTGCACATTTGGCCACTTCTCCTTCCAAACAAACTGTAATGTACACTGCCGGAAGTCCTGCCCACTGTGAAGATTTTCCTTCACCAGTATCTTTCAGGGTTGTCCCAGAAAGGAGTTATAATGCTGTAGCTGTCCACTTCCGGGTGGTGCCTGTATAATGTGCAGAACCATCAGGAAACCAGGCCCTAGTCCTGTCTTCCCCAGTCAACCAATCATGGGGACACCCCATGAGGTTTCAGGTGCACGCTTGGCAGCAGACAGCATTGTAACAGGAGTAGAAACCATAGGTATTTTGGCAACTTCCTTTTTTTTTTCTACTTTTTTTATTTAATAATTTACAATCATTTTACATATCAATCCCCCTGTTCCCTCTCCCTCCCATCCTTCCATGTCCCCTACCTACCCCCCCAATCCACCCCCTACCCACTCCCCAAGGACAGTGAGGCTTTCCATGAGGGATCATCAAAGTCTGTCACATCATTTGGGGGAGGGCCTAGGTCCTCCTCCATGTATCTTGGGCAGAATAGTATTATACCATAGGGAATGGGCTTCTAAAGTCCATTTGTGCACTAGGGATAAATACTGGTTCCACTGTTAGAGGACCCATAGACTGCCCACATTCAGAGGGCTTGGTCTGGTCCAATGTTGGTTCCCCGGCTTTATGACTGGGGTCCATGTGCTCTCATTAGGTAAGGTCAGCTGGTCCTGTAGGTTTCTCCAGCACTGTCTTGACTCCTTTACTCATCCCTCCTTTCTCTCTACAACTGGATTCCAGGAGTATGGCTCAGTGCTTAGTTGTGGGTACCTGCTTTGCTTCCATCAGCTACTGGATGAAGGCTCTAGGATGGTAATTAAGGTAGTCATCAATCTCATTATAGGGGAAGGACATCAAAGGTGGCCTCTCCACTACTGCCTAGATTCTTAGTTGGGGTCATCTTTGTGGATCTCTGAACATGTTCTTAGTGCCAGATTTCTCTTTAAACCTATAATGGCTCCCTCTATTAAGTCATCTCTTTTCTTGCTCTCCTTTATTCCTCCCCTGATTCAGTCTTTCTGATCCCTCTTGTTCTCCTCCCCCCTCCTCTCCTCCCCTTCTCTTTTTCCTACATCACCCCCCCCCAGTGCTCCCAATTTTCTCAGGAGTTCTTGTCCCTTTCCCCTTCTTTGGGGGACCATGCATTTTTCTCTTAGGGTTCTCCTTGTTTCCTAGTATCTCTGGCGGTGTAGATTCCTTTGCTCTACTTCTAAAATCTTTATATGAGTGAGTGCATGCCATGATTTTCTTTCTGCGACTGGGTTACCTCACTCAGGATGGTTTCTTCCAGTTCTATCCATTTGCCTGTGAATTTCAAGACTTCGTTGTTTTTTTGTTTTTTTTTTTTTCTGATAAGTAGTACTCCTTTGTTTAAATGTACCCCATTTTCTCCATCCATTCTTTGGTTGGGGGGCATCTAGGTTGCTTCCACGTTCTGACTATTACAAACAATGCTGCTATGAACGTAGTTGAACATATGTCCTTGTTGTATGAATGTGCATCCTTTGGGTATATGTTGGGCAACTTCTTTATGTAACTTGCTTGTGTCTTCGGGACTTGCTCAGACCTAATCACGCATATGCTATTTCAATTTGATAATACATTGCTGCTGTGCATGCTATACTTTATGACTTGATGGGTCCAATAACACTTAGCTCATGATGGGCAGTTCAGGTCTCATGGTAACTTGGTGGCCTATTGTCAAATGTTCAGTTTCCATGAATGTCTAATAGCAGGCCAAGAGCTGTCTCTCAAAAAGAGAATAGTTGTCTGCAGATGATGGTAGAACCCTACTCCAAAATCCCAAAG